GGATTTTCCCATGAATGATTTTTTGCTGTTTATTGCCTGGTTATTCATGGGATAATGGTTCTTGTGTTAATCTCGTTTTAGTCACATTTTAATGTCAATTGCATGACTTTCATGGATTAATTACTGTTTAAACTCCTAATTTCCTCCCATGTAATAAACTCCTACAATAGTTGTACTTTGGCCACATCATAAGAAGGCATGAGTAATTAGAAAAGACAATGATGCTAGGAAAGATAGAGGATAATGGAAAAATAGGAAGGCTACACACTAGATCAGAGGTAGGCAACCTTTCCCCTTTAAGGGCCGAGGGACTTCAGCTCCCAGAATCTCAGGAGCTATTGGCCAACATGGCTGAGGCTTCTGGGAGCTGAAGTCCCTTGGCCCTTAAAGGGGAAAGGTTGCCTACCCCTGCACTAGATGGTTAGATTCAATCAGGGAGGCCACAGAGCTGAGCCTGTAGGACCTGAGCAGGACAGCAGATGACACAGAATATTGGAGATGTCTCATCCACAGGGTTGCCATGAGTCAAAGATGACTTGAGGGCACTTAACAACAACACCAAACTTTTGCATGTCTCCCTCCATTCCAACATGCCAGTCTGGTAAAATAAAGTGTATTAAAATCTTATCAGATAATTCTCTTTCCTTTTTTTATTCTGCAGTTGCCATTTATATTTATGATGTTTTGTAAGTAATTGATACTAACACAAATAAAGAACATATCTTAATAATACAGATAATCCTTACAGATATGTTTAAAGAGTGTGTGTGTGTGTGTGTGTGTGTGTGTGTGTGTGTGATGAATTTGCCACCCACTCATATTTATATGTAACAAACACAGCTTGAACCATGACTTTCCAAAAAGGAACAGTTAGACTAATTATCTGTAGGTTGATTTATGTGCATTGTTTCTCAACATCATAAACCTGGGTTTTTATGTATTTAAATATGAGCTCACTAGAAATAGTGCAAATTGAGTCCACTTTAACTGCCCTGGCTCAGTGCTAGGGAATCATGGGAACTGTATTTTTTTCTGAGACATTGAGCCTTCTCTGTCAGAGACCTCTGCTGCCACAATAAACTACAGTTCCCATGATTCCCTAGCACTGAGTCAGGGCAGTTAAAGTGGACTCAATTTGCACTATTTCTGGCAGTCTGCAAAGGCTCTTAGGGCCTTTGCAGACTGCCAGAAATAGTGCACATTAAATTGAGGCACTGCCCTGGCTCAGTGCTAGGGAATCATGGGAACTGTAATTTATTGTGGCACCAGAGCTCTCTGACAGAAAAGGCTCAATCTCTCAGGAAAAAAAATACAATTCCCATGACTCCCTAGCACTGAGCCAGGGCAGTGCCTCAATTTAATGTGCACTATTTCTGGAAGTTTGCAAAGGCCCTTAGACTTCCCATAAACCCTATTTAGGAAATTACAATCACTGAAATTAATTGTGATGTAATATGTAGTAAACAATACTGGATATTTCAAAATAGAGGTAGCAGGATTATGCCTGTATTTACAAGTTGCAGTTTTGATAAAGCTCAGCAGGAGAGGTGGTCAAAACCATTTAAAATTTCATAAATCAGTTCTGAAAAGACCAGATTGAAGTAAGTGTATTTGTTGCTTAAAGGGCAAAGCATTATGGATTCATTTGAAATGTGAAAGCAATGCCCAACTTCCTCAGCTTCTGAAAGAATTTAAAATTACATTTTCTTGGAAAGAAAGTTATTGTCCCAAATCTTCATAACAAACCCAGACATTCAAGTTGTCATAAATAAGTCAATTGGAAGGAGTGGCTGCTTCATAGGCACTGCCCTGGCTCAGTGCTAGGGAATCATGGGAACTGTAATTTATTGTGGCACCAGAGCTCTCTGACAGAGAAGGTTCAATGCCTCAGAAAAAAATACAATTCCCATGATTCCATAGCACTGAGCCAGGGCAGTGCCTCAATTTAATGTGCACTATTTCTGGCAGTCTGCTTAGGCCCTAAATAAATATCACAAAGGCACCAGAATCTGTCTGATCTTGGAAACGGTTGGCCCTGGTTAGTACTGGGATGGGAGACTGCCAATGAATACTAGATGCTGAAGGATATGTTTTACAGGAAAGAACTGATAAAACCACCTCTGAGTATTCCTTGCCTAAATAAGAAAATCATATGAAACTCATTGAATCACCATAAATCAACAGGAGACTTGAAGGCACATGCACACATGTTCCTCAGTTCCATTGAACATACTATGATTTACCTCTGAATAGGGATCACATTGACTAAGGATCACATTGACTAAGGGGGGTTGCAGACTGCCAGAAATAGTGCAAATTGAGTCCACTTTTAGGGTTAGGGTTAGTACTAGGGAATCATGGGAATTGTTTTTTTTTCTGAGACATTGAGCCTTCTTTGTCAGAGAGTTCTGGTGCCACAATAAAATACAGTTCCCATGATTCCCTAACTCTAACCCTAACCCTAAAAGTAGACTCAATTTGCAGTATTTCTGGCAGTCTGGAACCCCCCTAATTAAAGGTTAAGTTGACTAACAGAATCACACTGTTAGTCAACATAAGATGTTAATAGGATTCTAAAAATGCATCTTCTAGACATATCCATTTGAAAGCATGGGTAGAACTCACTGGTGAGTCTAAGGACTTTATTACGCAGGGGCCAATTTCGTCTTTAAAAAGATAATAAAGTGCAAATAAACTATCCTGAAAATAAAGTGAAAATAGAGCTTGATCATGCAAATGAATTTCACACGTAATTAGAATAAATGCGAAATAATGTGAAAAGCGATAAAAAGGCGTTTTTACATTTCATACAGAAGTGAAAGAAATCTGTAAATGTACTAGAAATGGTATACTTGCACATGTGCAGAAAGAGAAAGCAGAGAGGCTCATGTCTGTTTGGCATGTTTATCACCCAAGCAAAACAGGAAGGAAAAGGAGTCCCACAGAACCATGGGAAAAAAGGAAAAAAGAATTAAAGGAGGGTTATTGTGTGAATAAACCAAATTTGACTTTCACACTAGAGCAGTGGTTCTCAACCTTTCTAATGCCGTGGGATAAACAGTTCCTCATGTTGTGGTGACCCCAAACCAAAAAAAAATTTTGGTG